TTTCATATTGGTCCCTCCAAGCTGTGTGAGGATGTCTGAAGCTTAGAACGATGAGGAGGCTGGAGCCAGATGACATGGGGTTGTTCCTCTCTTACCTCAATCCTTAAAGTTCATGCCATGCATTCCTCTCAGCCACTAGGATGGTAGGGAGGTTCTGAGGGAGGGGGTTAGGAAGGCTGGGCCTTGAGCTTACTTCTGCAGGTGTTCACCAGTGCAATTCTCATATAAATTTTAATGTGTATTTAATGTGTCCCCTGTGCTAGGCTCTGTGCCATGGAGGACACTAGCTGATGGGGTACTAAGGTATGACTGGAGAAAAGCTATTCCTCATTAARAATGGCCATCAGCACCCAACCCCCAACCCACCTCAGGCTGACAGCATGACAGCTTAATTTGTAGAAGAAAAAAAAACTAAGTAAAGGCTATAATTTACAGTTGGGATAATTGGCCAACTGTTAGGAAAGAGGGAAAAAAAATTCTAACATACAATCTATGTAAAAATAGTGTGCTTGCTACACAAACTCAGCTTCAAGACATGGTCCCACCTGCCATGGACACACCTCTCCATTCTAACCAGGCAGCTGACCCTAAGCAGCTCCAGAATAAACAATCTGGAACTGCCCCAAGATGTATGGGGTAAGCAAAACGACTCGGTGTCCTCTTCCCTGAGTTCAGTCTTGTTGTTGGGAGGAGTATTAAGCAACTAGACACTTGTGACCCAACAAGATGGATACCTCGATGGGGGGAAGCCAAGGGATAGTAGAAGCATGGAATAGTACTTTGCCTCAGCCTGAAGGACAGGTGAGGCTTCCCCTGAGAAACCACAAGATGCCTCATAAATACATGCTAAAGAATTACTGAAGTGCCAGCTAAACCAATACTTGAAGCATATGTAGAGTGAGTCAGGTTGGTCCAGGAGGGGAAAAGAATTTTAGGCAGAAGGAGCATTAAGAACAGAWCCTCAACAGGATCTGTTGAGAACTTGGCCAGTTTGGGAAATTGATGCTGAAAATCCTTTGGCCTGGCTGGATTAGTCATCTTTCTGGGATTGTTGCTTCCTGTTGGAATTGGCCTTGGAGAATCTCCTAGTACCTGCTTTCTAYCTCCCAGTTACAGACCAGGGCAGCCGGCATTGCCTCCCCCAGACACCTATTACTTATGGAACCCTCTCCTCCATCACAGAGAGTAGGCTAGTAACCTGGAGACCCAGAATCTGCATGATTCTGAGGCCCTGATGTGCTCCCAGGCTTGGCAAACATGATCTTGGTATAACCTTATATTGAAGGCTCCAAAGAGTAGAGGCCTAGAGAGGCTGGGGCAACCTGCCACAAGGCAGGCTGGGCTCTTAGCTGTGTGGGCTGAGAGAGGTTCCTTCCCTTCAGTGTTGCTCCTGCCTATAGGCATTTTTCTGTGCCCCTTTTCTTGTTTGGTGGGGAGGGTGGAGTACTGAGCCCTGACAGCTCTGCCCAGGTGGGGGCGCAGGATTCCTGAGCTGAGCCCAGACTGGCAGATGGGCTCCATGGGGCTTGGAGAGATAGGGACAAGAAGGGAGGGAAGAGGCTGGAGGCACTGCGACTGGATGGAGAGCGGGGTTAAGGAGGCAAGCTTTCTGACATGCCCTCCATATTCAGGAAGCCATGGTGGGGCGGGGCATGGAAGCTCTGTTTCTAATTAAACAGTGCCTGTGTTTCTCCTTGCTCCCCATTATTATCCCACAGCACCCCCAAGGCATTTTAAGCTGCCACCCTGCTGAGGAGGCCAGGATGGCCGCCAAAGCCAGCCAAGCTTGATGTGCTTAGGAGGTGAGGGGCAAGAAGSCAACTCAGACTTCCCGAGTCTGTCCTTGTCAGTCAGTCTCTCATTTATCCTCAGAAGCCCAGGGGGGCTCCTGCCATCCATGTCAACTTCTGGGCCCCTGAGTGGAATCCAGACTGTCTCCTGTGGGGCTTTGTCCCCGATACTATGTCCTGACCCTGAAGCCAGACTAGGGACTAGAGAGTGGAGCCCGATGTCAGATTCAGCAATGGCCCCCAGACTCAGGAATATGCTGTCAGAATCCAGCACCAGCCACCAACAGAGGAGTCTGCTGGAAGCAGCTATTACCATTTTAGGTTAAGACAGCCCTACTTTGTTAACCCTTAAGGCAGTGGGGATCCTGGAAGCCAAGTCTTCTTTCCCTTTCTCTCCTTCCTCCTTCCGGCCTCACCTCCCTTACACCATCTTCCAGTTCTTGGCAGAGCAAGCAATTGAGATTTGCTGTCCCCACCCCCCTCTTCCCACAATATTCTCAAGCAAACTCAGAGAGGTGGAGCAGTGGGTCCAAGGTCGCACAGCCACAGAGCCCTGGAGACCCAATCCCATCCCAGTTTCAGCTGCTTCCACCTTCACAATCTCCCCAGGCCACATTCACACACGCAGAGTTTAATTAACTTTATTGATATTCAGAAATTAGGAGAATGACTAAAGGTAATTGCTCATTAAAAATCATTAAACTGACACAGCAGGCCCAGGCAGGCGCAGCCCCTCTTGCACCGCCTTCTTCTCCCGCTGTGGCAAGATCTCCCCAGTACCACCCAAAGTTTGGGAGGACGCCCCACAGTCCACAGTGCACCTCTCACCCTGGGTCAATCATATCCCTGAGGCTGCAAAGGGAATAGGGGACTGTGCCTGCAGGGCAGCACTGCACTCACCCTATCTCTGGGCAGTCTCCCAGGAATCCTGGGGCTTCTGGGTTGTGCCTGGCTGCAATCCTGAAGCCTGAGTCCCGAGTGTGATCAGATCTCTGAGGGCTGCGAGGAGGCTTCCGGGAGGCACTGCACTAGCTGCAAAGGCTCAACCCAATCCCTTTGCTCCCTGAAGCTCTCCTTCACTGAATTCCCCGAAACCCTGAGGTGGCCAAGTGCACTCCCAATGAGAGGAGTCAGTACCCAAGACTAGGACCATGCATCCCCGCTAAAAAGGAAGAGGCTTCTGGTTTGCGGGGCGGGGCTCCATCTTCCAGACCCTCTTATCTGCCAGGTTGGACACTAACAGGGCTGCTTCCTCCTTTCCCTTGAGGAGTGAAAATCTTCCCCCAAAGTCAGATCCCTACCCCGAAAACCCCTTGGGCAGGCTATCTCACAGGCACTGGAGATACTAGTGGGGCAGAGGAGGAACACTGGCTGGGACACCCAGACTTCTGACCACAGTGGACAATTCCTTCCAACACTCACYCCACACCCCCATCAGGGCTCTAGGAACTCCCAGCCACATCTGCCTTCCTCCTGGAGACCCGAAATCTCACTCCAGCCTCTGGCAGAGGCTGCATCCACACACCAGTGGCCTCACAGGAACCTACTGCTGAGTTCTCACCCTACATTCAGACCTCTTGAAGTGCAGACACCCTGGGACCTGCTACTCCAGACACACGAGGCCCTGATTACACTCACACTGATGCACACACACTGCCTCAGAATGTATGCCAGAGGACAAACACAGGTCCTGTGCCCTAGGGGAGCTGTCCAGAACAAGGTTATAGCTAGATTTGATACGGTCCTGAATTCGTAGGGACATCCTCAGACAACCGGCGGATCTACAGGCTTCTCCTTTTCCATTCCCGTCTCTGAAGTGGAGCTGGCGGGATTCTTCTTCCTCTCCCGCCCCAACGTGAACACAGGGTTTCAAGTTCCCCCATGCAGCTAGAGGACCTGGCATGGGCAGTTAGGTGGCTGGACCAGACTCCCCGGGAGCAAGTGAGCACAGCTAGAGGCTCAAAAAGGTTCTTCCATGCCTCTGAGACCCTGGAGTGAAAAAAGCTGCCGTCCAAGGACCCAGCTCAACCTCATTCTCAGCTGCTGCCCAGACCTCTGACACGGCCTGGAAAGATTGAATGGTTAGAAATCACCCCTTCCTCCCCCTATCAGGAGCTATAACCATATGACAAGGGACGGCAGGAGCAAGTGCCGCTTCCCGGATCTCACCAGYCGACCGCTAGGAGCTGGAGAAGGACCTGAACATTTGTAGCTTCGAAGACAGCTTGTTTGAGCCCGGACGGCAGGTCCAGATGAAACTCCAAAACCCTATCCTTTATCCAAAACTCCCTTGTTCCCTACTCCAAGGCCAAGCTTCACTTGCCCCGTGTCCACGAATTTGGGGGCCTGACTGCGCCTAGGGCTGGGGGCCGCTGGCAGGGAATCCGTCGTCCCGCAAAGACTCTGCCGCCATGGGGTGGATGGGGACAGGACAGGATGGCTGGCCCGGAGAGGCAGAGCTCTGGGCGTGTTCGGTGTGTGTGTGTGTGAGTGTGTGTGTATGCGCGCGTGTGTGCTTGCGTGCGAGGGCAAGGAAAGGACTTCGGGGAGGACAGACTGTTTATCCCAGGACCTCATCTGCTGCAGTCCAGTGCAGTGCGAGGAGCTGGATGGAGAACCCCCAGGGCCCCCGAGTATGTCCCCAGAATTTTGCTCTAGGTTTCGATTCTGGGGTGGCAATGCCAAGGCAGAGGGAGGTAAGCGACGTCCTAACCCGTTGTCCGGCAGCCATCCGGCCGCGTTCCTCCGCAGTGAGGATGCTAGAGACCTGGAAACCGGCTGCAAAGTCGAGCGAAGTTTGGCGGGCAGCAGGGGAGGAGGGACCGCGGGCCGCCAGCCGGACTGTCCCGACTCACCGCCCCGCGTCCCCCCTTCGCGTGCGCCCCGGCGCCCCCAGACGCCTGTAGTGTAGCGAGGTAGCGCGCGGGTGAGCGCGTGTGTGCGGGGAGGGGGTGGCGTGATGAATTGCAGCAGAGAAATCCCATTAGATCCGGGGAGATGATTAAAGGCGAGGTCTCGGCCGGGCGCGAATGGCGGGAGCCTCGGCAGCTTCCCGCCCGTGGATCCCGCGCCCCACCCGGCTCGGCCAGCGCCGGGGTCAGCTTAGCCGGCAGGATTCCTTGCTTGGACTGGACAACCGGACACGCGGGGCTGGGAGTCGGGACGGGTCCGCCCTTCCACACCCTACCACCGGACGCTGGGGTCCCTTACCGTGAGCCAGGAGCGCCAGCAGCGCGGGCAGGAGCAGCAGGGTTGCTGGGCGCATGGTGTTGGTTGCGGCCGCGCCCCGGGCAGGGGCCGCGGCGGGAGGGTGAGGGGCTTGGCAAGACGTGGGCGCGGGGCTGGCAGAGCGGGGTCCGGCAGGGGAGAGGGAGCGGGGCCGCCGCCGCCGCCGCCGCCGCCAGCGCCTGACAGAATCAGCACCACGGCCAGCGCCTGGCGTCGGCGCCGGGGATCGCCGCGCGGGGCTGGGGGCGGGGGCGCGGGAGGAATGGTTTACCGTAAAGTCTCAAGCAAAGGCGCAGAAGACCCAGAGGCGGGAGCACAGGCTCCCGCGCCACCGCCCGCTCAGGGGAAGGACTGCCCTACTAATGGGAGAACACGATCCCCGCACTTCCGTGCTGCCTACGCCCAGCCAAGCCTGCCACCCTCTCCCTCATTAGCATCCCGCCAAAGTGGTAGCCTCTAACCGAATTCTCTTGAAGAGAGTAACCCCCTCCCCACCTCTATCCACCCTATCCTGGTACCTGAGGGCGCCAAGGGTGACCTGGGAAGATATCCACGAGTGAGGCAGCTGGTAAGGCCTGTGTGCCCTTGTGCCAGCTCCGTCCTGGGCGGATAATGAAGATGGCTTTTGAGCGTACAAAGGACAATAAATTATTACTTTGCGCTCAATAAATGCCAGGACTCCAGGCAGCTGCATCAGCAGCAAACTGTGCTCACAGAAAAGCTTAATTATCCTGATATTATAGTTAAAAGCCAGTGGCACTGTGTCCTGGGGAGACATTCTTCACTTGGCAGGAGGCAACCTGGGCAAAGCTGTGGGGAGCTGAAGGTAGGATCCTAGGTCCTCATGCTGCCCTGGATCTCCAGGATCCTGCCTTATCACGCTCTGTGGGACCAGAGCAGCTACAGTGACAGCCAGGTGGCACAGATCATTCATGCCAATACCTGTTCCAGCTCCTGGAACTGGTGGAGAAAATGTGACGGGAGAAGAGAGTGTCTAGGGCCATATTTTACAATTTAATTTACTTCTTCTTCTTCTTSTTGTTTTACTCTGCAGTGCTAGGGATTGAACCCAGGGCCTCACACACAGTAGGCAAACTCTCACTGAGTTACACCCTAACCTGTTAGGACTGTTATAGATGGAAACTCAAAGGAAGCCCAGAGGGTATAGCTAAAAAGGCATTCAATTACATGGAAAAATAAACTTCCAGGGCTCTTCTTGGGTTGGGCAGCCCTAATGATTCACAGAATAGTAAGGGACCAGTCCAATTGTGCCATCTGTAAGGCTGCTGTTTAGACCCAGAGGTTGGGCTCACATGAAGAGCATCAATGGACAAAGTAAGACATGACCCTGTGAATGGTGTTATCATTCCCTGTAGAGAAAGGGAAAGACTAACTTCCTGTGGCCCTAGAGAGGCTTGTGTTTAGTTTTTGTTGTTGTTGTTGTTGTTGTTTTTGTTTTTAACTGGAACTTGGCCCAGAATCCTTCCTGACCTTACCCTGGAAGCGAGTGGCAAAACTTCTGTCCTTAAATCTCATTCCTCAGGGAGTCTTTGGTCCTTAGGATTCTCACAGTCTTCCAGCTCTTCTTGAAGGATTCTCTCTAGATCCTCTTGTGGGCTCTGGGGAGCCTCCTCAACTGCTGTAAAGAATCCCAGGCAGCAGGCAGGTGGCGTGTGGAATTAGTTGAGGGGAGACGCTAGGAGAGGATTTTTGGACAGTCGTTTTAAGAAGCTGAGGAAAAAAAGAGAGCTGTAGCAGAAGGATAGCGGGAAGGGGGAGGCATTGCTGAAAGGATCAGAGGTGAGAAGAGAAAGCCAGGAAAGAAAGTGCAGAGGGGAGGGAGAAGGAGAGTCTCCAACAGAGGAGGGGAAGAGGCATAGCAGTAGAAGGTTCAGTAGCTGGAGGATGTTCAGGGAAATACTGGCAGATGTTATGGGATTTCTCTGTGAAGGTATTCCTTTTTTTTTTTTCTTTTCTTTTCTTTTTTGTAATGAGATTGAATCCAGGGCTTTGTCCATATGAGGCAAGTGCTTTACCACTGAGCTATATCACAGCCCTGTGAAGGTATTCCTGAGCTCCTCCCAGGTCTTTGGGTTTCTTAGAACTAAGCAGCTTAGGCAGAGGGAGTGAGCCATGACCCATGGATGGATCTTTGTGTTAGGATGATTCATGCCCCCTGGAGGCTGGAGGCAGTCTCACCTGACTCTTCTGGCAGCTGGGCTCCTTGATGAGCTGGGTGCTACCTACAAGAAGGATGGTGAGAAGAGCTGTCCAGAAATTTGCCACACTGCTTTCCCTGCTACCTGAACTAACTTTAGGCATTCAGGAGGGGGGGGGTCCCCTGGAGACTACAAGTCCCACAATACAGCACTATGCCCTGATCTCAAAGGATGGGTTTAAATGCCATGGTGGGAATAATAATGCATCTAGGCTATCCCCGACTCCTGAAGATGGTCAACAAGCTTCTATGTGATGGGTTCCCAGTTATCTTGAGGCAGAACCTGGCTAATATGGGAAGCAGCTGAGATTTTGTCAAACACCTTCTCTCATGCCAATCAAGGGGCCCAGTCTTCCTAGATCTCAGCATCACCAACAAATTGAATACAATAAAATGTCCGAGGGAATAGTCAACTGTACCCAGAGCTTACAGGATTATAGTACTCAATTTATATACACATTTGAAAGCGGCATGTTTTTCCTTACTCATTTAATTTCTCCCATTCTCTCTCTGTCCCCCATTTGGCCTTTTGCCCCCAGAGGACCCTGGGCTTCCCCTGCTCATGTAATTCCTCACTAAATTCTCTGTCTTCTCTATTAGTTGTAGACTCTGAAGACATGGACCAAGTCAGTCTCATCTGGCTCAAACTTAGCTCAGTAGCCAGCACAGAGTAGATTCTCAATAATTATTTGTGAATAAATGATGGTCATGAGACGTGTCTAAAGCCCAAGCAAGGCAGGGCATTGGTATCACAGGAGAGCTGTGAGATAATGAAGAAGGGGACAATGAGTGAAACCAAGACGAATAAGCTGCTATACATTTCAGTCAATGGAGAGAAAGAGGAGGACATCCAAAGGGAGGGGGCGTGGCTTATGCAGAAGCAGAGAGATGGAAAATGCCAGTCAGTGAGAAGGGTAGTTTGGCAGGAGTAGACAGTCCCCACTAGGGAAGAAGGAGGAAAGGACAGAATAGACTGGGGACAGTCTGTGAGAGAGTTTGTGGTCATTTGTGCTGTAGGACATGCTTGGTGGCTACATTTAAGGAATTGCCTCATTCCAAAGATGTTTGCACCCAAATGGGAGTCTGGCATCATTAACGTGGGTTTTCCAGCACCACAGTAAGTGGTAAGAACTGGGGAGTTTAATACTGACTCAGAAGGTGGGGATCTAGGCTACTAGGGTCAGAGGAGAATTGAGAGCCAGAGAGGGAAGAAGGGTGCTCTCCAATTCCAGCAGCCCTCGCAGCACCTGTCCAGACTGTGTCAGACATCCAGCCCACACCACTGGAAAAACCAGCTTCACTTCCCCACTTTAGAACAAGCCCATCAATGGCAGGATCACAGGCATATTGGTGACTTATTTTGAAGTCACTGTCAGAATGACACTGCTTTCTAAGCAAGAAGAGGAGAAAATTACTCTCCTCCAAGACACTTTTCAAACCAGAGCTGTATCTTCTGTGGTGCCAAAGGGATTAGAGGGCTTTGTGGAAGTAGGGGCCGGGGATGCCACATCATTTCAGAGACTGCAGGGGCACAGAGCTACCTGCTCACCTCAACTGACTTCTTAGAGCAGTCTCACAGACCTTGAAGCATCTGGAATAGTCAAAGATGTCAGGCCTGGCTTTCTGGATTACCCAAAGTCAACCCTTTGAATTTAGGGGCAGGAGGAGGACCCTGCCTTGGGAAATGAAGASTTCTAGCTTTTGGGCATTTGCTCCCGCTCCGGGGGGAGGGATAGATCAGCTGTAGCAAGAGCCCAGGGTAGATGGAGACAGCAGTGGTTTGATGTGAGCTACTTTCCATCTCCAAACCGAGGCCTCTAGCCTGCCCACTCCCCCAGCCCAGGCCTTTGATCCTCCACAGCTCCATAAATGTTTAATGCCACCGGCTGGGCAGAAATGAGGCAGGTGCTGGAACAGGCAGACCAGGAATAAGACTTGAGATCCACGATGTTGGCTAGATTATTTTCACATAGGGGCCCTGGGATAGGTGGGAGGGAGGTCTTCCCCCTTCCATGTGGAGGGAGATATCCCAGGGTTCAAGTTTGTGGCACTAATAAAGAAAACTCTTTGAAAACCACCAAGGGGCTGAAAATAAAATGAATAATCAATTGCAAAAGCCCAATCCCCRGTTTGATTGAAGGCAAAAGATGGAAAGTTAAATGACAATCAAATGCAAATACAGCTCAACAAACACCACAGCAATTACCAGGCTCAGGAACCACATGGTGCTTGCAGGCAGCAGGGGTTGGCAATTTGGAAGCCTGGGCCTGTGCAGAGGTGACAGAGTGTGGGGCTATTTTAATGGACAGTTAAATAGATGCAAAAAACTCTGCATCTACTTTGCATACCCTGCTGATGAGTGAGGAACTGGAATCCAGGGAGGTTGTATTTCCTTCATGGCTGCCTCTGCGTCATTTCAGATTGGAAGAGGCCCTGAGTGCTTAGAAGTCCAGATCTGAGTGAGCRTGGATCCCCCCACCCCCTGCAGTCTCATTGGATTCTTCCCATCCACTGGTGCTGAAGGGCCAAGGGTTGAAGTTGAAGGGAGCCCATGGGATCCTTCACACAGAACTCAAGGCACTGGCCTTCCAACAGCCCAAAGGCCCTGGTAAGAGTGGCCTTCGCCTCTAGATTTGCATAATGCTTTGCATCTCATTTGAATGCTATTAATTTGGTGTCAGGCTAGGTTGGCACGGTGCAGGAAAAAGAACAGCTGGCATTCTCCCTCCCTTCTGTACCCYGGGGCTTACTCTGAGCATAGCCCTCCCCAACTTGGGGGGCATGAGGCCTCCACTTTCACCACCCCCTCCATGTTCCCTGATGCTTGGAGAGTCTCTTAGTGAAACTGGAGCCTAAAAGCCAAGGCTGCCTGGGCAGTTGCGGCCACTTGCAGAGTTATGCTGAAGGAAGAAGAAGGAGTCCCCCAAGGGCATCCTTGCCAGACCCAAAGATACCATGGGAGGATGCTGGGAGCCTTCATCTCCCCAAGCAATCAAGGCAGCTT